AAATATTTATATACCCAATTTTCAATTATTTTACATGCCCAACTTTTATTTTTGTTGTAAAGAAGTGTAACTTGAAACAACAGTATATCATATAAAGAGAAATAAAGATTAAAGTTATATCATGAATATTGGTCATGATTTGTAAAACTCAGACCTGTCAAGTAAATTTAAGACACGATTCAAAATGTTCAGAATATGTCAAGCCATACTGAGAAAAAATAAGAATGTCGAGAATATGTCGAGAACTTTCAAGACAGTATTCAAATGTCAAGAATTTGTCAAGAAATTTTAAGACCATATTCAGAATGTCGAGAATATGTCGAGTAAATTTCATACAAATTAAATATAAATGAGAATTTGTCAAGAAAAATTAAGACACAAGTCATACTTTTGGAGAATGTCGAGTAAAAGTTCATGCAAATTAAGACAAAAACTGGTCTTTTCAGACTTTTAGACTTTTGTAGTGAGAGAAAGTGATAACGCCATGACTCAAATGAAACAACGAAAAGAAAAACTAGTGCACAAAACAGTATATAGAAATCTTAAGACTAAACAAAAGGAACCCTACCGAAACTGTGGATGATTTCAGGTTATTTTGGTGATAAGGTCCATTCTATGATGTCGCATTTGAGAAAAGGAGGACCGTTTTATGATAGTCCGAACATATGCACTGTCCTCTACGACACAGATATTCCATAACGGTCAACCATTTTGTAATGCCATGTGTAAACTTCAATTTCACCACTTGTAACCCTCGTTGCTATAGCTTCCGCAAACTTTCACCGAGGAAATCATGATGATAACGTATGCTATGGAATATCGTATGAAGTGGGATATATATGTAGGCACTGCTTGAATGTTGCTACATAGAAATGGAAAGTTTTCAATTGGAAAGCTGAAATCATCCCTTTTGTTGTGATATTGCCCTCAACCGACCCACTTTGTCAATTTCTAAATATGAATCAAGATATAAGACAGGCCAAATTGCATCTATTGTATGGGATAGGTGCGTTTTACAGAGTCACCAAATTTGAATTTAAAATGAGAAGCGGAACGTAACGTTACAGGATTATGGTAGCTTCTTTTCATTTTTCTTAATACGCTTCTGTATGAAGGCTGCCTCATATGAGGAAGAAGATGAGCATAGTTGGTTTCCCATAAGCATTTCGACTGTTTGTTAAAAAAACAACACGTCCTCAAACCGCAATAAAATGTTTATCATAAAGTATGTCAGTTTCAGAAAATTATGTGTTTGAATCAGTGTGTTCTTTTTATAAAGTATTGATTTTTAAGACATTTTGTATTACATTTAATGTAGCAAAGTTTGATCAATTTCTTCAATCTGTTTTTAATTTGGAATGCTGATTACAAGTTAAATCTAAGTGACTATAACATCAATTATATATATAATCGGTGTAATGTCAAAGTTTATTGTGATGGTATTTATCCACACACTGTTTCCTCTTTGAAAGAGTACTGAGCATTGTGAAATTAAAGGCGAAATAATGCAAATAGCCTTTTTTACAAAACATAACGTTAATTTTCAAAGCAAGCTTTTAATTGTTTTTAAATCACATAAAATATTGAATTGTACTGTCTTTTTATAAACAAATATATCTATAGGTTATTCAAAGAAGAATAGACGGAAGAGAAAATTTTACTAGGACCTGGGTTGAGTATGAGAATGGATTTGGTAATCTTCGGCACGAGTTTTGGCTTGGTGAGTAGTCCTGGTTTCAAATTTACTTTTATGTATTTTTCATTATGTACATTTGACAAATTCTATGAAAATGCTGTACATTCATCTTTTTTGGATAGGCGTATAGTAGTTTTGTTCTTGAAGGGGTATATTGGTCGGATTGTTTGGAGAGACGACGATTCATTTTTGTTTGTTACATCATTGAATTGTCATTTGCATATTAATTTACAACACTTACTTTACAAATCATGCCTGATATTGTTTTCCTGGCAGAGTGTTCACAAGAAAAAAATAATTAGATAACAAGGAATCTATAAACAAAAATGTCTTAATGTAGTTGAATTAATAAAAAAGGTATTCAATGGTTTTTACTATAACTTAAAAAATCACAACAGACCAACGATGTTCCAATTATGGTTATAACAAACTTGTTTTGCTTGGGTCGTTCATTACCTTTCATTAAATGTTAAAGAGTAAGACCACGAAGGTAATAATAAACACCGAAAAGAACATTATATTATCATCTAAAAAAGCTTCTTTTTACGATCTCAAATTTTTAAATGTCAATAAAATAGACCCCTTTTCTATATGTTGTTAGTTTTAACAATTGGACCAGCTTCAAACGTATTATATATAAAATAACAAATAATTGGCATACGAGTCAAACTATGATTATTCAAAAGATGATAGATAAACGATTGAGTATTCACAAAGTATATAAAATTGAGAATGGAAATAGGGAATGTGTCAAAGAGACAACAACCCGACCATAGAGCAGACAACAGCCGAAGGCCACCAATGGGTCTTCAATGCAGCGAGAAACTCCCGCACGGAGGCGTCCTACAGCTGGCCCCTAAACAAATATGTATACTAGTTCAGTGATAATGGACGTCATACTAAACTCCAAATTATACACAAGAAACTAAAATTAAAAATGATACAAGACTAACAAAGGCCAGAGGCTCCTGACTTGGGACAGGCGCAAAAATGCGGCGGGGTTAAACATGTTTTTTGAGATCTCAACCATCCCCCTATACCTCTAGCCAATGTAGAAAAAACAAACGTACAACAGTACGCACAGTAAAACTCAGTTTAAGAGAAGTCCGAGTCCGATGTCAGAATAGGAAACAAAAGAAAATAAACAAAATGACAATAATACATAAATAACAACAGACTACTAGCAGTTACTGACATGCCAGCTCCAGACCTCAATTAAACTGATTATATATTAATATCAGGCACAATCCCTCCTGTTAGGGGTTTAGTATTATACCGTCATAAAATATATGAGAAGAACATAACCCGTGTCATGCCAACAACTGGTTTTAGAATAAATATGTTTATGTGTTTATTTTCAAAAGGTGAAGTCGCCATTTTAAACCGATGTTTCTGTTTGTAAAAAAAATCATATTATTGTCTCTTTAAGTTTTATAAGATATTCGCAATAATACATATACTATTATAACAAAAAGATATTGTTCATGAATTGGAAAATAGTCTCTCCTTTGTGTCTTTTTTTTTAACTCTTGTTAAATTCTAAATCTGATGTTGTATCAATTTATCCCATGCTACATCAGAGTTCATATTTGCATATGCAGTAATATGACAAACTGGTCAAAATCGTCACAGGTATATACAAAGTTTGCTCGAGTTGTACCCCACATGAAAACTAACAATGTCATGCAAAAAAACTAAAAAAGACGAAAATACAAACAAGTCAACAAACCAATACAAAGAAAACATAAGGTAACAATATACAGTTAGGAAAAAATATTTAAAATTTACCCTCATAAATTTTACCATCCCCTTTTCCTTACTTACTTACAAATTAAGCTCACTGTTTGTGTCATATATGTGCATATGTATTTAATCAGTATCTTCCATAGATATGATATCCAGTAGTTGAAATGGTTAAAGATAAATTCTTTTTGGTGTATCCATAGCAACAACCTGCATGTATTTGCTATAAAATATTGCAAAAAGGGTGTAAAGATGTCATCTATTTCCCCTAAATTTTTGCCAAAAGTAGAATTTCAACAGTCTCACAGAAAATAGTGTATAAAACATCTAAAAATTAATCTTGATGTTCTTATAAACCCACTTTGAAGGCTAAATTAGTCGTCAGCTGTCTTAAAAATGAATTTAATTGCACAGTAACTTTCATATTTGAAAAATCCACCGGAGCCAAAATGCGAAACTACACTCCTATCTGTGTATTGCTACCTTAAGCAAAAGAAATCCTACCGAAAACAGCGGGTGAACTCAGGTGCTCCAATCTTCGCTAGCCAAGAGTTACGATCCAGTCCCCTCCTCTCCCCCTTGGCGGATTAAGATATAATTTCGGATCCACGAGGTAATGCATGCAATCAAAAAGCGGTTATAAACTGATCGCGTGTAAATGTAGAAAATGTTAAACAATTAAACAATAAAAATAAACAATTACCACGTGTTGATTGTGCAAGAAGTCTTAACCCCCAAATCATAGGACGATATTTAGTGACATTTTAAAGTTCTTAATCAAGTAATTGAAGTTCCTGGTTATGTTTCTAGAGGAAATGATGGAATGTCCAGGTATATGTTCTGTCCGTTCTTCACGAAATTTGCAAAACACTAAACACAACCCACCCACATCCAAGAGATTTCAAGTGCTGCCATTGGTCAAGAATGATGTGGTCGGAATGGGCGTGACTTTCTTCCGTTAGATGGTGCAACATTGTGATCACAAATGTTGGCTTAATCTGACAAGGGTAGAGAGGAGGGGACTGGATCGTAAACCTTGCCTAGCGAAGATGAGGTGCTCCGGAATGGTTAGTAGTTCCGATTTTGGTTGTTATATGATCGATAGAACTCGTAAAAAGTTATCTTTCTTTAAAATATTTGACGGATACGAAAACAATCAATGCTCTTTCCTGCAGAAAATTTAACTTAATTTGTTGAGACAACAGTAGTTTTATCGTTGTTTAAAACTCATAAATCCGTTTGAATGTCTTTTCGGTATCTTTCGCCTCTATTTTGAAATAAATAAAACCAAGAGAGAATCGCATGAACTCTTAACAGACCAAGACTTTGTGCGTCGATAGGGTAAACGTCTCATTTAAAACTGTCTGATTTTTGATTTCAGATTATCCGTCCCAATGTGAATATACTAGTATTACTGAAGACGCTGATCTTTTATAGTTTTACTAACAGTAATCTAGTTAAATTATAATTTTATCTATTTCTATTACATAGTGACTACCTCCAAAATGATACCAATTATTTATACAACTGGTATAAACTTATATGTCTTTATCAAGGTAACAAATACCTAAATCTTCTAACCAGCACTGGATCTTATAAACTACGGGTCGAACTGGTTAATTCCAAAGGCGAAAACTTTTATGCTGAGTACAGCTATTTTCGTGTGTATCCTGCATCATCATATTACTCTTTGAGAACAGTTGGATACAGTGGAAATGCAGGTATATAATCTGATTCCCGTATTATTTTTTTTTCATAAAATCAATCATTGTTATACGCTAGAATTTCTTCAGTAGACCTAATGTAAATGAACTATAGTCGTTGGTTGATGTCTGTCATATTTGTTTTTTGTTTTTGTTTTTATCTTAAATAAGACAGCTGGTTTTTCTTATTTTGAAATGCTTTACATTTTGTCTTGTCGGGGTCTTTATTAGCTGACTATATACGGTGTTGGATTTGCTCATTGTTGAAGTCCATAGGCTGCTGTTTTCAAATTTATTTTGTATCTGATGAATTGTTGTCTCCTCAATTATCTTAAGTTATTTTCTTTATTTTTTCAGCAGTCTAACATGTTTCAAATACAAAACAGTATTAAATTGTTTAAATATGCTTTAATATCTAACAGTTAAACATCAAACACATTGTCCAACAGTGCTTATGATGTGTTTGGGAAACATGGTATACTTATCAGTTAATTTGTGCTTTAAACAAGCATTCAGTGACTTTCTTTTTATAATTTGCATTGGAGATTGGTATTTTTGTTATTTTGATTTTTTCCTACATATTTTGACAGTGTATTCAACATGTTCAAATGTTGCGCGGATACTCCACTTTTCCATGTTAAGGAGGAGGGTTGAGCGCTCACAAGCATTTTTAATCCTGACATTTTTTATACGTGTCTGTCAGAAACTAAAAGCCAGTAACCGTCATTTATTCCCCTATGCAATAATTGATTCCCCTTTATATTCATGTTGTTGTAGTATAAATCAGGCTGTCGGTTTTTCTCTATTTTGTATTATTTTACTTTCTGGCATCCTTTTACAGCTTATTATATAGTATGGTTTTACTCACTGTTGAAGGTCTAACGATGATATGCAATTCTTTACATCCCTTTCTTATCGTCTTTGATGGATATCGCCACATCTTCTTATTTGTATATTTTACATTATGATTGAAGGAAAAAATGTTTATGAATTTCAGTCTGCATGTGGTGGAAGGTGGTGAAATTCTGTTCTTTTCAGCTAGTAATAATTTTCAAGATGTGAAAATTATCTCATTCTGAATTACATTTAAATGGTAATAAGATAAAATGATAACCATTCCATTTTTTATGATTGTTGGGATAGAACAAATGCAAGTTATGTTATCGGAAATATAATAGAAACAAGAATTTTAGAATTCCTTTGGTAGTTGCTGGCTTAAGGAGGTACATAACACTACAAAGAGATAACTCTGTAAAAATCAGCTGAACGTTTTAATCACGTTCTATTGTTAAGGAAATATTAAGCTTCTCAATGATCAAATTAAGTGTTTGTCAAACTGCTATATATCCAATGAAATTTTTCCGATAAAGTGTGCGATTCAAGTTTTTTGAAATTTTTATATTTTTGTCAAAGGGTCAAAGTTAATATTTTGTCAAAATTTTATGAAACTAAACGATCCAAATTAATTTTAGTCAAGGTGTTTGGTACCACCTTAATAAACGTTTGGGGTTACAATCGTTATTTACAGTTTACTTTCTAGACTTTTGGTTTTTTTTTTTTGCAGTGTAGTCTGATCCTGTTATGCCCTTTCTTTCTATTAAGAACTATATGAAACATAACAACCATCAAATAATGAAAAGAAAAAAGTACGAACCTGATATAAGTTCATGACACGCGTTTCTTGAATGACCATCATCGTGCACGCCCTTAACTCATAAAAGTCTTCAGCAAACCATACCCTAAGGCCTCTGATTCCAAAAGTGTCTAAGTAAATTGGCCGGACAATTTCAAATACGATCAAATTTGTCAAAGGAGCCGAAAAAGAATGTTTGTACAATTTAAGAATTGAAAATAAATGAACAGCATGCCATACCAGAGCTCAGCCTATTTTGCGGATGGTACTATCAGTGAGAAACAGCCAACCTGTAGGGGCTTGGAAACTTACTACTGGATATGACCTTGGAAAGTTTACGGGTTATTCTTATATGACACGATATGATAACCTGGCATTCATTTACCCACTTCATTTGAACTTTGATGGATAGTGGTCTCATTGGCATCCATACCACATCTTGTTTTTGTATAGTTAGTTCCAATTAGAAAAATAGAGAGGGTATACTAAAGCTGTATTGACATATAAATGGTTATTACTCAAACCAGGCGATTGGTACCAATACATTACTTTTATTAATACATTTTCCCGGTTTTGTTGAAGTTATAGATATATAAAGATACTTTTATGATGCCAAAAAGATAAATATTTACCAATTGACGTGGTTGTATCCAACTTCATGTCATGGTACGTCCTTCAACTATAAGGGAAAACCTCATATATGATAGAAAGATATAAACCCTTTCATAAAAAAAAAATGTGAAGAAATTCATACAAGAAAGCCAACGATGTAAAAAAAGGTACAACAAACATTTTTTGAAAAACACTATAAATAACAACAGCATCTTTATAATATGGACTTTAATGTAAAAAAGTGTTAAACATGTCTGGTGCAACTATTCAAGAATGCAACATTTATTAAATGATTACAGGAAACCATATGAGTGCGAACGATGGATGTAATTTCAAAACCTATGATCGTGATACTGTTAATTGTGCACGAAATAACGGGGCTTGGTGGCACTGCGATTGTTCGCTTTCATCAGCCTTGAATATTCCGTATAACAAGACGCTCAGATGGAGTAGTGGATATATCAAATCAGACATGATGATACAAAGGACCGGATGACATCTTTATACATAACCTGATTCCATGATAATAAACTGGTCAGTTCTTGTTATAAACATGTTCAGCTTTAACGTTAACTTTCATAAAAATTGCGTTTCAGTCTTTTAAATCTTTGCTATGTCTCAAAATTGTTTTAAAAAGGCTATACATATTTATAACAATAAAGGGGTCGACATTTATACATTTGGGTCAAGATACGCAATTCAGGTAGACAACAATGGTAGCGTTTTCTTCCATTAGTAAACTTGAATATGTATAATGGCTCGGTTTGAAGCTGAGACATATGTGCTTAAAATTTTAAGGTTCGAATTCAGATTAAATTGTTCACAATGGGGAAAACCGTTTGATGCGGCTTTCGAAAGTGATAGTCTCTATTTTAACACTGTTAAATTCTCAGGAAATTTATTTCATTACATACATCTGATAACTCCAGAGTTTTTACATCTTTATTGTACAGTCTTCTGCTCTTCATAAAACACAAATGGTTAAAATACTTAAAATAGCGTTGCATACAGGTTTTTTAAATTACTTTATGAAGTAGAGTTCCTGAATTTCAGGCGTATTAGTAATATTACATATACCACCTTAAGGGAAAACTTTTTCTATAGGAAAACTAAAATAAAAAGAAACAGTAACATTGATATCGATAGGCTACTTTTCAAAACCAGCACAAATAATTCGCGTTTCTATGATGTTTCTTTACAAGTAAATGATTGTATGCATTTATGTTATGGATGTTCTGTCATATGATATAAACACAAAACAGTAATGGTGATACGATCGTATTTAAAAAAAAAATTTCTTCTTCTTCTTCTTCTTCTTCTTCTTCTTTACGTAGTGATAGCTGAATAAAGTTTAATAGTTATTTAGTATATTCTTGTGATCACAAATACTGATAAAGAAAACAAATTTCAATGAACGAGTGATAATTGAAGAATGCATTATGTTAAAGAGCAATAAAATGCAGAGATGAAAATAACCTTTAAATCACCTTCTTAAATATTGTTACACTTCTATGGTTTCTTTATTACTTTATTTTTTTGTGTTTCGACTAAGTATTTGTGAACTATAGGTTGAAATCTTTTTCCATTGTGAAATTTCTGTTTATGTGGAGGTACATTCCATTTGCGCATTTATATGGAATTTATATATCTCTTGATAAAGAATTGTTCCTTACAAAGAAGGTAATGAACCAAGTGAAAGTTAATCCTTTGTAAGTTTTATAAACTTCCTCATGCTTGTGTTAGCCATCAGTTATATATGTGTCAAAGGTGACCTCAGATATGTTCAAATTGTTGCCACCACTTCAATTTTCCTCGAGTGTGATATCTTTGAATGTAACTTATCACCGAATTTGTACTTGTCATATACGCAAAATAACGGATACCACCAGTGGATCAGGATCTGCTTATAGGTTGCACTTCTGTAAACATAGGCAACGCAATTGCCCATAGGAATTAATTTTACGGCTAAAACTGTGACACTTTTATTATAAAGTTTCGTAAAAAATTTATCCTAGAATGGAAAGTTCATACTATATGCTCTTCTATTTTTTTCAAAGGTCAAAATATAGAACTGTGCGACATATTTTCAACATTTATATGCCTCAAACTTCTTAGAGTTTAAACTAATACTAAATTATGTAATACACCTCCATTCTCTATGGTTCTCCAGGAGATTTCCATTTGGCCGCTATCCATGTGTATTTATAGTGGTAAAATTCCCAAGTTGTGTGTCTATGAGATGAACTATAGAGATCATAACTGGGAACCAGTTGGTTAACAAAACAAAATATCTATGAATTTCACATATCTTCTCGAATTAGGCGTGGTTTGTAAAACAGCTCTATTTACAAAGTGCAACCTATTAGAGCACATGACTTTTCATTTCTTTTAAAGGGTACTTTTTTATTTTGTTGTAGTTGTCAATGTTGTAGTATGTTTTTTTTTTTATTATTCAATGTTTCTTCTGTTTCTACCATGAAAAGCCGTGCACACCCTTTTACCTTTGAAAACATAGTTTTTATTTCAAACTTTATAATTGAGTCCAGCTTGGAATGCATACTTGGTGTCTTTTCCATTATTTGTTATTTCTGATACATTTTAAAAATATTTCACAGTAGACAGTCAGATAAGAAAAAAAAAAGACTTATAGTTTATAAGATATTATTTTATTGTAAACTTATAGAATGACAAAAACCTCATGTTTTCCTAAATAAAAGTCACTTTTTATTTTGCAGATTTTTTTTTATCTGCAAAATGCGTGCTTTACACGCGAATATTGCACACTAAATTGTGGTTACGTTCTACAGGGAATATGACGTTGCTACTTATTTAAATTGTTTGCTACTTTCACTAATACATAATGATGTTCGTTACTCCGTTTCAAAATAACAAGCTTTTTAAAAGACTGTTATAAATTGATATTATATAAATAATAGAACTAAAAAAAAAAGAAAGAATTGAAAGGTACGTGTCCTTTTTTTTTGAGATAAAAGAAGAAAATTGTGCGGGAAATGATTATCTCTAGATTTTTCATACATTTAACACTGACACCTTTTTTCTTTCAAAAACTATGAGAAAATAATAAAAAATGTATAAGATTTAAAAAAATGGCTTTTTAAACAATATGTAATAAAATTTTGAAAAGAAAAGTAGGTGTTAGCGATTAAATTTTGTTTAAATGTCACTACATCGATAAAAGCAGAGGATTCAGAATATCTGACAAAAAATCCAAAACAAAAGTAGCGAACATCCTAAAAAGAGAATTCCGGACTTGTAACGTAAGGTATATTTCGTTTGTAAAGGCGATTGAACTAGATTCAATTTCGATTATATCAGTTTATCAGAATGAATCTCAGTCAAATACAACTTTACAATACATATGTATTTGAAATCCGTCAGATACTTAATTTACTTAGAATATTATACGTTATGTCGCAAATCCGGAATTGTTGATCATTTTGTTTGTGGAATTTACCAATATGAAATCATGTGTGTACAATATGTTTAGTATTATTCAACTATTCAAATGTGCAATGTGTATTGCAATTTCATAGTTAATACTAGTCTATTGTTAAGATTCCCTATCATTACCAGAGAAAGAAGAAGGTATGAAAACAGTCATCATTTGATCCTTATCATTAAAGAATGCAGAAATGTCATTCAAAATATTATAAACATGACATACTGTTAAAAATTTTATTACATAGCTAATTATTTTCGGTAAAACTTTACGTGATCAACAACAAAAAATCTTTGACTTATATTAACATCTTTGTATCAGACACCTTGTGACAAAAACTCTTTTCAGGTTAGGCTGCTCATTTTAAATATTAAATGAAAGATCCCAAAATGCAGCAACGTTGTAATACCTTCTCCTTTCAACATTTTTTTTAAAATTAGAATATTTTTTTTAATTATGTATTTATATAGTTGTTATCAGAAACAGTTATCCGTGTTATTTTTATATGTGTATTAATGTAGTTGTTATCACAAACAGTTATCTGTGTATTTATAAATGTGTAATAATGTAGTTGTTCTCACAAACAGTTATCTGTGTATTTTTATATGTGTAATAATGTAGTTGTTCTCACAAACAGTTATCTGAGTGTGTAGTTTTAATATATGTTTCTATGTAGTTTTTATATATGTATCTATGTAGTTTTTATATATGTACCTATGTAGTTTTTATATATGTATCTATGTAGCTGTTATTAAAAACAGTTATCTGTGTAGTTTTACTAATGAAAGAATACCCTTATATTACACAAAAATTTATTTTAGATTGCATTATTTGAAACGTTTACTGAAATGAAGAAACAAAAACAAAAAAACAATTGTATGGAAATATGTTCAGACTTACAAATTTAGTGTATATTTCTATAACAAATTCCTACTTTTGGGAAATATGAATGCAAGGAGATTCTGGATAAACGTAAACGACGTTTGTGAACTTATAGAATGACAAGAACATCATGTTGACCTAAATAAACGTCACCATTTCCAGGTAAAATGTGTGCTTTACCCGCGAATATTGCACGCTAAATATTTGTTACATACTACAGAGAAAATGAAGTTGCTTCTTATTTCAATTGTGTGCTACTTGCACTTATTCTTAACAGAGAATTCTGGACTTGTTACGTAAAATAACATAATTTGTACTTGTTTGCTACTTGCACATATACTTAACAGATAATTCCGGACTTGTAACGTAGAATTACCTAACTTGTACTTGTAAGTGTCAGACATATATATTGCGTTAATAGTGGTCGATTGAACTTGATTTAATTCTGATTATTTCCCGTGTACCAGAACACATCTGAAAAAACCTACTTTACCTTAGATATGTATGTGTACTTGACACACGTCAGATATTTAAATAACTTAAGTAAAGTATACGTTATGTCACAAATCCGAAATTGATTATCAGTTAGGTTGTGCAAAAGTGTCTAAATTTGTCGTAGAATATTTTACCTGTGTATTCATGTAATTGCTATCATAAACAGTTATCTGTGGAGTTTTAATAATAAAGTAATGCCCTTTTATAGTTATTTACTTTAAATCGCAATATTTTGATTTTGCTTAATCGAAAGAAAAAAATTGTACAGAAACATATTCAGACGAATTGTATCTTTCCGTAAGAAATTTTTATATAATTGTTCTATTTAAATTATATTAAAAAAATTACCAGTTATGGAACTTGTTCAGTCTGAGTATATATTTTTATAGGAAATAACTATATTGTTTTTTTTTAAATTTAATTACACACATCGCGAACATCACCATCAGTGTGTCAAAACAATGGTGTCGGTGTTGACATGCAATAAAGTATCTTGACACCTCAAATCAATCACATGCAATTTTAATAAAAGCCGGATAGAGTTGTATTGTTCATAATGTTCATAACCGCTTTTAAGTACAGGCCAAAATTTGGTTACGTTCTGCAATCTGATTATGAGATTGCTTCCCAATTGACCGTTTCAGAATCTAATGCATTCTGGTTTACATTTTTAAAAGCATTAACCAAAACATTGTGATTGGTTTAGAACGTTTTTAATATTGGAAGTTCAACCAATGACGTAACGGTATGTTCATTTGTTGTGTACAAACAATGAGATTATCCTTATTTCTTGAGATTTTGAAAAGGCGAATTAATCTAAATGTTGTTTTAATTAGATTTTAATATGTTATATGTTTGCAGCTTACATTAATACGTTACAAAAAAAAAACGTATACGCATTTCACTTACCGTTAGTACCAGAGATACCATTCATTTGTATTTGGAGGAAGAAAATGATTCAAAATTGATCATCGAAGGTTATTTGAAAAAAGCAACTTGTAATTAAAGGGGCACTAGCTGTCAAATTCATGATCACTGATTTGACTCAAAATCTCATATTTGATTTATTACAATGAAAAACATTCATCCAAACTATTATAAGTCTATAATCAACAATTAACAGGGCAAGGGCATGGTAATACGTAGCTTCGTTTCGTGTGTATTTTAGACTAGACGCCATATAATTAACTATCGAGTTGACCTCGAAAGTCGTCCGATGACCATATAAGCGATGTAAACATATATATGAATGTTAATATATTAAGCGAACTCTTGCTATTGGATTTTTCTAGGTCTGTTTAATTTCATATTATAGATTAAAAATTAAGTTTATCATTTTTTGTATAAGAATGATTTTTTGTGGATCGAATCAGTCAATCAAATGATTAACCTTTTTTCACTTTCAATGTTGACATTCTTTTCCTTTGAATAGCTTTACACATACAATTCATGTGTTATCCATCTCTAGCTAAGGGGTTAAATTGATGTTCGCATGAATACGGATTCCATGAGGTCGAATTATTCACTTGCAAGTGAATAATTCATCATCAATGTTTCTTAGCTTATTTTAACAAAATTGACCCATACTGGCTGCTAAAAGCGAATAATTATTTCACTATTTCACTTTCATAAATGATTGAACAAAAAAAATCATATATTCGATTTTTTATATATCTCGTAGCTAGTGCCACTTTAAGTGAGATACGTCAGATATCTAAGTTAAGTATAACATGTATAAGTAATGTTGAAAGTCCGGATTTTCTATTGATTAGTTTGTATATTTTTTGTGTCAGAATTGTGCAATGTATTTTTTTATGTGTGTATAATGAGTAAAGTATGATTTAAAGTTTTAAATGTGAAATGTGTAACGCCGTTTTATATTGATTAAGACTATACTTTTGTTTTAAGTCGTTTTGATACATGTTATAAAAAGGATAAAAAGTAGGTATGAAAGCAGAATAAGGAATTTGTAGTTCCTAAAGTCTTTTTATTAAGATGAAATATTTCAAATTAAAAAATGATATCGTCTTGTCACTTGAATACAAAAGTGGCTTTGAAGATTTCATTATTAAAAAAATAGTAATAATAATAAAAACTCACACAACATCTTACATTTTACATAATCAATATACTTACCCCATAATTATTTGTTTTCAATACAATTATATTTGATAAGAAGTTTACCCCCTACACATTAGATAACGTTAATATTATTAAATTTGTCTGCACTGCATGTGGCAAAACATTTTTTTTGGTGAAGGCTTCCCATTTTTAAATATCAAATGGAAGATTCCAAAAGGATGTAATGATGCCAGCGTGGCGCAATCATACCTTCTCCTTTACATCCTTGAATGGTTTAAGTTTGATCATTTTACATGTATATTTATGTATTAGTAATTTCTGTTGGTAAGCAAAATAAATTGATGCAACATTACAACTGCTTTAGCTTTGAATTGTATTATTTCAAGGTTTTGCTAAAAAAAAGAATCTAAACCATACTGACACATAATGAGATTTATTTTCATTCTAAGGGTAAATTGATAGCATGTTCCCCCGGAGGAAATTTTGGAAAACGACAGCGAGACAGCAACCAATCTACACAACAATCTTGTCTATTATGTGTGTTGAAATCCAATTGCAATATATATGCATGTTCAATACAACACATTATACCCCAACTGCTATTTGATACATTTCATCCCTCGCGAGAGAGGAGAAGTTTCCTTAATTGCAAAACTAACAAGGCGTCCTTGAGTCAATCCTTTATGTTCACCATTTGTTAAAAACTTTGTTATTGGTAAGGTTTGGAAAAATTAGGGAATATCTGGTTGAGTAATTGCTGTCCTCACGTTTTCAGGCAAATATTTCATGAATACATACTGCTGCAATAAATTAAATAATATACCAATAACTGGTATTTAAAATCTACTTAATCGATCGACCGGGAAAGAACGAGAATAGTTGGCATCTGGTCAATGAAATTGTCACCGTTATGGTTATTAATTTTAAATAAAGAGAATTGGCACGATTGCCAATGAGACAACTATCCTACAGAGATACAATTATTTAGAAATGAGCAACTGTTGGTCACCGTACGGCTCTCAACAATGAGCCAAATATATATCACATGATAACAGACATTAAAGGCCTAGACTTGACAAAATATTAAAAAATTAAAACCAGAAAACCAATGAATCGATTTATTTGCAGTTAAACAAACGAATGTTAAGTAAGATACACAGCGTCTAACGACAATACTAAATGACAGACTTCTTACTTGGGGTTGGCACATACGAAACATGGCGGATTTAAACGTTTTAGCGGGTGCCCAACCCTCTGCGTAACCTGCGACAGTGATGAAACAGCGAAACCCAAAAATGATACAAAAATCTATTAAAAAGAGCTTGACTCATCAGATCGATATAAATAAAAAAAAAGCAATTAACAGATCTCAAAGTACTTGCAGTTACTGAAACATAGTTCAAAGGCAAAAACAACGAAAAAAACATGTATGGAGGAAAATATGACCTTTTACAATGCCAACAATAAGTATCGACATGATGTAGAACCATTAGTGTTTACAACTGGTAAGGTATACATATTACGTTACATTTTAATTTATTGATAACAAAATCAATATCATTACCGTAACATTATTCAAAGATCATATTACAGAGTTAAGTTGATAACCTTGATTTAAAGAATTCGTATATCAAAAAAATCGACCAGCCTACACGACGAGTGGCACATGGGAAGCAGGATCTGTTCACCCTTCCTGAGCACCTGATATCACGCCCAGTGTTTGGTGGAGTTCGTGTTGTTCAGTGTTTAGTTTTCTATGTTGTGTTTTGTTTACTATTGTTTGTCGGTTGGTATTTTTCTTTTTCAGCCATAGCCTTGTCAGTTTATATTCGACTTATGAGTTCCTCTTGTATCTTTTGCCTCTCTTCTACAAGGATCGTATCTAATTGGGCTTTTAAACAACATGACCTGAAAATAAAAAGATGTGATATATCGTGAGCAAAACTACCAAATCGAATCGTCAAAACCTTATAAGAATTAAGTAAAGGTTTTCAGTAATTTGTGATATTGAAATCCCTGACATTATTTTCCCAGTGATACATAGATTACGTCATTTCACCCTTTGTCGTTCAAGATGGAGCCAAAGGTTTATGATCTGAAAAACAAGGGAAATTAACCAGAAGGCACAAAATTTTCCCTTTTATCGTAAATATGAGTATAGAGATTTCCGTGTATAAGTTTAATATATATATATATATGAAAGGTTAGTTATATTAGATTTATTTTAAATTTCTTTTGGAAAATTTCGCCAGTATATTTTGAGAATTTATGAGGTTTTGTAAACTTTTTAAAATAGAAATAGAAAGAATATTACGTAAATCTTTTTGTCATTTTTAGTTTCGTACTACATGTAAAACTCTAAAAAAAAAAGGTCGTTTTACGTGTTGAGAGTATGAAATTCTGACATCATATGGTGTACAACTACCAGCGAAAAACACGGAGTGTCTTCAATATTTATCTTACTGTAAATCAATCCTAATAAGAACACATTTCAAATACATTCGAATGTAAATAACAAAGATGAACAACTAAAAAAATTTATGTTTTAACGTAGACCATAAAACATATACATACATGATAATTACTAAAGCTCTAAAATAAAGACAGACACATTTGATAACATCCACGTCATTTTGTCTCCGGTGGATGATTGTATCCATTGAAATCATGCCAAAACACCTGTTTTGTATAGTATTAGGAGGCTGGGTTAAAAATAAATCTCACATGATTACATCTAAAATAGTCCTTTTATTTTGTGGTATGGAAAAAGGACGTTGAAGTCTTCATTAGAACAACAGTTGGCATAGTTGATAAATCATTTTATGTTTACATTGTTGATGAAAAATACTACTTTTATATTAGGTTTGGAGAAAATATGCCAAATGTTTGCCAAAAAAGATAGAAGGCCATTCTTCCTCTGTCGATATTGTAATCAGTTGTGTTGCGGATGAATAATTTGTCCTTTCAACCAAATTAACTCATATCTTACAAACCTGTTCGTGCATTTTTCATTGTTATTCAAAGCAATATAATTATCTAAGATACCTGGGACGATCTCACTACACAAAAGATCTCTTTTGTTTACTTATTGTACCTCGAATTTATTAACCCGGTGTAGGTGCTTAAGTTGCAGGTTTTTTTTAACTAAAAGTAAATCGGGCATGACTAGTAAGACACGCCCTCTTAAAATCCAGGGGTCCAACATAGGATCGGATAAAAAATTTATATACCATTATGTACAATTTCGGAGAAATAAAGTGCTTTTGGTTGATTTAATATGTCCGGTCAATGATCAAACGGTATTTGAGTGGAAATACAAAAGGTCCGAAACCGGGAAATGCAGGCTGCAAAAGGAATTTATTTTTATTCTATTACGGCATACATTTTACCTCTAATCAACGCTCCATCTTATTAAAGTGATGCTCTAAAATTGTTATGATTTGCTTAAGTTTGATACACTTTACATCTCGTCGTAAATATGCATGACATATTTGCCATTAGAAATCAAGAGAGCAATGTATTTATCAGCACCATTAAGTGATGTACAATCATTAGTCGTCAGTTGATAGTTATCTCAGGCAATTTACCACTATTTATAAATTTAATGTTCAAGCGTAAATTTCAGCATTTCTTTCCTTATTTTTCTCTTTGCATTTAATCTTTTTGAACATAAAATAAAGTATTCGACATTAGAGGTTACATTATATCCTATCCAACCCTACTAGGGGGATGGGTGAAGAACAGAAAAAAATCTACATTGAGTGGCAATACATCATAAGCATACACCGACGGCAGTCACTAAAGTGAACCAATCTAGTTTAAATCGATCTAAATGTCCTATGGCGAACGGGATCTAAGGGACAAAATTTGCTGTTTCAAGTTTTTTTTATTATATCTGGTATAATAGTTGTTATAAAAGCAGCCGAACATCCAAACTGACACACCCTTTTAGCTAGGATATACTGTCGGACTGGAGAGATCCAGAGATGTCAATATTTCTATACCCAAGTCAAGCCTTTGGATTAAAATAAAATGAGATAAAGGTATACATTAATGTGGCAGCTACCCAACGACACAGAAAAATCAAAATACTAAGAGTCAACTTAGTCTTTTGTTATAGAAAAATGCGTATACAGAATAAGCTCAAAACTGTCATATGACTAAAAAATATGGAGTTAATTTAACAATATCTATCACAACAGGGGCATTTCATTTAATATTATTTACCGTTAAAGATATCCTGACAAGCACAAGTGTTTGGTTGAAAAACATCACCTGCCTTTTTTTTTTTTTAATTTCGATCGGTGAAAATTAAAGGAGGTATAATATAAACCAGTAGAAGAAAAACACTTCACTGTATAGAATAATGGTAAAATAAATGATGATAATGAATGACGTCAAGTGGAACATTATACATTTATTTCCCGTGCCGGAGGGAGATATGACGATTTGTTCACCCAAGGATATTCATATTTCACGAGGGCTCTGCCCGAGGGAAATATGATTTTTCGAGGGTGAGCAAACCTTCATATCTCCCGAGGCAAAGGGAAATGAATGTTTTATTCCACTGCCTATGCTTTGTTTACTATCAATACATTAAATATTATTTTGCATACATTTTTTTCTTTTCCGCTTGTTTTTGTAAGTCAAACTAAACACGAAATACCCATTGATAAACAGTAAGGATCAAAATTTAATTATAAGTCTTTTTGTTTTATCGTCTGAACTAATTTGAACATGATAATGATTTTAGCTATCGCTATTTTAAGAAGAATAAGAAGTTCAAAACGTTATGTACATTAACCGCGTGTAACTTCGCACGAAGTAATCCCGACATTTCAGAGGGGAAGGAATATGATCCTCAGAATGGAATATGAAGATTTGTTCAATGACACGTACGTGGGATAGTCTCAACCAATCAAATATTGATTAAACTATCAATATGTTTAAACAGTGGAATAATATACAATTACTGTCTTTTGAAGAGGTAAATATGTGGTTTTATTGACTTTTGAAAAACTGATATTCACTGAGCCCAACGTTGGCCTCAGTGAATTTCAATAGGTTTTTCTAAAGTCAATTAAACCACATATTTACCGAAACAAAAGACAGTAATTGTTTTATTCCATGGTTCGAAAGAGAAAAATATGTATTTAATAACAGTTATTTATTAAAACCAATTGTACGTCAAAAATTTTACCGTTATTATACATGTAAAAGCACGCGCCTTTTCCACGGTGAATACACTTTTTCAGCAGGTGAATATGCCTTTTTTTTATTCGAAATCAAATTCATATAGAAAATCCTACTAAAATTCTATCAATATGGAATAATAAATGAATATTCAGGACAATAACG